TTAACAAAGGTAGTTTTGCATCCTACAGCATTTAATATAGCATTTCTCACTAAAGTAAAATAGTCTAGAGGCCCATGATTGGAATTTCATTCTTCAGGCTGTCTCACCCCTTCTGAGATTGAGAGCCAAGTAATTAGTAGCTTATTCCTTTAATGCTACCAGATAGTCAAAAGTAAGTCAGAACAAGCATGTCCAAAGCAAGCACACGTTATGTGCTTTAAAGATAAGGATAATTGGTAGAAAAATCTACCACCGTGCTCTGTCAAGTTGCAGAGTGTTCTATTTTGGTTCTATTTCATATGGCTCTGCTCAATAAGAAAACATCAGTTACCTCATATTTCAAAGTGTTCTGTATATCAACCTTAGGAGAAAATAATTTTTCTGAAAAATAGTCTAAAATTTCTAATAGTTACCTTTTGCTCCTAAACCCTTTTTAAAATTGTTACCTTACCTCTTTTCATTATAAGGTACTTAATTTAAACCACTAAATTAACAAACTATTATATCTAACTTTACAAGTTTACTTGAAGTACTTCAAACATATACTTCAAGATTTCTTCCATGCCAGTATCAAGAAAATAAAAATCTCTTGCGCAAGGTAATTGGAATCACATGGGATAAAGGTTATCTCACTTGTTTCCTTTATTTCTTACCTTCATAGGAAGTTTTTGGCATAAAAATGAATGCTTACCCATTACTGTCAACTACCTGTCTTATTGCCACATGCTTTTGTCATAAATCACAGATCCCGCTTTAAAGCTGCCTTAGTATCTAATGATAACATCTTATCAAACAACCTAAACATGGGGAATTAAACTGGGGATAAATGAAAGTCAGACATCAGTAAATCAAGGAGGCTGACCACTCCAAAAATCAAAAGATACAGAGAAAAGCATCCCACCAGCTCAATTTCAGGGAATCCTCCAGTTTCGAAATTCATAAAAGAGCAAGGGCAACTCAGGGTTCTCATACAGGAGAGAAAGTGATCCAGACTCATAAATCCTAAGGTCAAAACCTGCCCCAGTGTCAAGAGTCAAATGCTTTAGATTTCACCCATTCAGAGGGCAAGGGAAACTTTCCTAGAAGAAAGTACAGAGCTTCATATCTAAACACACGGTCATGTCAGGGAATCCCCAGCCTCTAGGGGCAAAAATTAAGTTACAGCTCATTTTAAGTTGCAGATGAGTATTCACAACGTTAAACCCTAACTTCGTTTTCCCATGAGATACAATTTTTTTCTTCGATTTTTAACAAGATAAAAAAAGAGAGCAAGAATTAGAGCTTCTTTTCTGTTTGATACATTGTTTTTCCCCTCCAGCATCAAGTTTGGCATCTGTTATCTCAGGTGCCAACTTTCTAAAAGGACCGTGGTTATCCGCATAAACTTTGGAATAGCTATTTTAAACTTTCTTCTTTGGAACTTAAAAAGGAGTAACGACTAACATGGGATTAAACACCCAATGCTCATCTAAATTCTACTAAAACTTTCAAGAGGGATTGATCTGGCAAACACTGGAACATTTTTGATAGTGAATATACATTTGAATTTTTTCTTGTGAAGATGCTGCCTCATTAATCATGAACTCTCTGGGCACAGAGGTCATTTATCACTATTCTCAGTGACCATATTTCCTAACACTCATGCCTGACACTAATTATATATTAGATGTATTAATAAATTAATGAAATTATTGAATGACTGATTCATTCATCAATCTAATATCAAAGTTGATAGATCTTCAATTCTCAGCTCACTAATTTTAGGTTGAATATAACTTTTCAATATTATCAGTGACTTCTAGAAAGTTGGCATCAGGCCAAATGGCATACTAAAAGAAAGAAAACAGTGACCTTGACATACTTAGAAAACCAACCGAACAGTAGCAGCAGATGCTAATTAATTTGGGATAGAGGGTAGAATGATCTTTGCAAATCAGGAATGAGAAATGCTGTATTAGGAACTTGGGAGAGACAAAGGATGCCTTTATGCCTGTCGATTTCGACCAGGAAATTGTCTTTGGAAAATGCAACACCTGAAAAGATGCCGTACAGTGGCCGACATCTATTAGACACCTTACTTATTGCCATAGACAAATAGCCACTTAGAGGAAGAAATCTTCTTTGTCAATAAAGAAACAACAGAGACGGTTGGTGAGGACCTGATCTACCTTGAAGAGTAAAGAAAGAGCACCTTCGCCCTAACAGGCTTACTTTCAGGACACCAAGGTAAGTATCAGAGCTCCAGCTTACTATGAAACCATCTAATGGAGGCCCTAGAGCCTGGTCTAAAGGAGAAATGGCAGAGAGAATGCTTGTCTCTCAGCTCTCTTCACTCCCATCCATATTCCACAGTGTAAAATCCTACCCTAATCCACGCACAGGCTAACATGCCTCAGTAAACTCCAGTAGCTCCCCTTGGCTTGCAAAAACATCCCAAAACATTCTATTCTGGAAATCAAGCAACTTTCTCTTATTACATTTTGTTTTTCCTTAGCACAGATATGCTTAATATCATCATTTTTTGAGACTACTACTGTCCCCAACACACTGTGAACTGTTGGGGGGAAAAAGGTTATTTTAATGAACAGCTCCTGTCAAAATAAATAAAATTTGTTGAGAGTCTACAAAACATGAAATCACTATGATACTCATTAGCACCATTCACCAAGTATTTCTGGTTTCCTAACCCTTCTAGGAACAAAGTAGAAATGCCTTTCCTTAACCCTCTGTAGTTGGCTGGGTACTGGTGACCAGTTCTAGTCAATGAGCAGAGTGTGGAAAGCATATATGTAATTCCGTGATAAGAACATTTAATGACTATTGCAAGACCCTCCAGGCTCTTGTTTTCACATCTTGGTGACTAGCAGCATTCACAATACTGAGTATTCCATCTGCTTGCACCCCACAGTAATTATGATGAGCAGAACGCCCTTCTTGTTGACCAGCCAAAGGCAAACAAAAACTTGTTATTTTAAATCAGTCATATTTGAGGTTGTTACTGCAGAACATCCTATCCTGATTGAGGCAAGTGGCATGATAAACGTTTTCACATACACAATCTGATGTTCACAATAACCTAACAATTACATATAACAGGTATAGCAGATACAAGCTGTATTTTATAAATGAAATCTAGAGAAGTAAATAGCCCAAAGCTAAGTAGTTTTGTTCATTCCTTCATTCAATAATTATTAGTTGAGCACTGTACTCTTCCCGGCTATATTCTCTAGCCCCCTCACCCCTCCAACTAGGTTGTGTTTTAAAGTAGCCAAGATAGGTAGTGAACAAAAGGGAAAAGGTCACAGCTCTCAGATCTTACACTGTAACAAATTTTTTTAAATCATATATAAAAACTAAAACTCTACAGGTGACATGATATTCAGAAAGTCAGAATCAGGTGTTAGGATAATGGGTAGTTAATTATATAAGTCAGAGTAAGTCTCTCTGAGCCTATCTCTTTTTTTGAGGGGGATGGTGTGGGAGATGCCTGGGTACCGATTGACACTCACACCCTTGTCTTTTATTCCAAATAACATAGTTTGCTTTCTAAAAGTAATTGTGGAACCAGTTCTATAAATAATACATTTTCCATCTCATTCCATACATAAACCACCAGGCAGGGCACCTATACTAAAAGGCTTTCAACAAGCACCGAGCTCCAGTCTTTCTCCCTCTGTGAAAAAGTAAACCAGAGGTAGTATTCCACCGTGATTTCAACAAGCCCTTTCCACACAGCAGGGCCTTAATCAAGGTTCATGGAGTTGCATGATATGTGCTGCTGTGGTAGGAGGATATTCACTGGTTCCTTCTAATCATAGGGTTAAGGTATCAGGATAACCGAGGTTTATTTACTAAGAACAAACAATCATACAGAACAGCAGATTTTTAGACTGTCTGAAAGACTTTTGCATCCCCTTTAAAATGTTTAGCTCTCACCATGCTGTGTTTACACAATCTCTTTTTGCTCTAGGACTTTTAGCTACACTACATAAAAGATAAATGAGATTGGCCATCTGTGGCCGTCAGAAACCTGTACTAATCTGACATCACCAGCTCCTTAGCCAAAAAATAACAACTTATAAATATACAACAATCAGTGGAAAAGGTTATTTGAACACACAAACATGCTTCCCTAACTTCTGCAACTTCTTGCACTTCTTGAAAGGTCATTCGGAATAAAATATACTAAGAGTGGCGGTCCATTCGGAGTGACAAATTCAGTTTCTAGGCCAGTGTTATTAGGACAAAAAAAAAAGATGCAGGAAAAATAGAAAATGACTGAAATATTGTGTTCAAGGGGCACTTTTCTTAAAGGTTACAGATTGGCCATTTAAGAACTTTTGACCAAAAGAAGAAAGATGCAAAACTTTCTACCATCCTTAGCCAATTTACTGTTCATACCTCCATATACATAATTAGATAATTGGAAGCCCCACTCCAAATGCCTCACAAAGCCAGCATTCCTCCATGAAGGCACCACCCACATACCTAGAGTTCCAGTTTAGTGCTGACAGCCCTGCCATCTAGGGGACCATCAGCACATGTCAATCAAGTCTTGACTGGCTCCCACATATGCCCAATCCCTGCCCACCAGGTACTCCTGATCCCCCTCTCAATTTAATCCTTATCTTTCCCAATGGGAACAAAGTACATTTTCTTATATACAAAAACATTTCAGCACGATGGAAGGAAAATAGTTTGGCACTTTTCTTAAAACTTCTCTCTTAACTCCTTCGGTGTTACTATAGGCAACCAGTGCTTCAAATTCAAATCATAGACCCATGCGTGTATCTACACAGAGAGAAACACTGAGAGTAGAAATAACTTAGGCAGATAAAATTTCTTTTATCACTTTCTCTAAAGGTGAGGGTAAAATAAGGCAACAGAAAAGCTAGTTGGGCAACAGTAGTACACAAAGCATGTGGAGCTAAATTTAACAACATGTATATGGTGCAGAGAAGCGTTTAATCAGAAAAATAAAGTTGCTTCTTCGTGCTTACCTGTACAAGAGAAGTCATCCACACGAATGTACCCTGGGACACAGTCACAGCGATATAACCCAGGCAAGTTGACACACACAGTATTGGCATGACAGTAATGCATCTTAGCTGCACATTCATCAATATCTGAGGGAGAACAAAAGAAGCAACATCACAGTTAGGTGAATGATTGAACTATAGTGTGACCGTCTTACAATGAAATTTAAAAAGGCAAATGCCCATCAGAGCTAAGAGAAAAAGCAAGAGACATTAAACACAAAAACTTAAATGCAAATTCGGGTGCATTCAGGTGCAGTAGATCCCACCTTGAACTGAAAGTATTTTGAGAGAAAGATGCATGGGTAGCTGTAACAGTTAAGAAACCAAGAAGTATGAAGATTGAATCTACTATTATTGATCTCTCACCAAGGAGGATGCTGGATTTAAACATCCAAAATCAAGGAGTTCTGTGTCCAGTGAGTTGATACCAATTAATATTTATTAGGTGTCCACTGTACATGGTGTAGCTTTTATCAGTGAGATCAAGGGGATCCAGCCCTCTCTGCTCATGTGTCTTACTAAGACACGCTTTAATCCATCTGTGAACAAATGATGGTGCAGCTAGCTTCTCCCATGTTGTTCTGTGAATACAGACAACGGCTGTTGTCTAATACAAACTGACATCTTTCATCCCTTGACCTCGAGATCCTTCCCATGTGACGGAACAATGGGCTGATTCAACAAAAAAGATCTTTCTTCTCTCTGGAGCGGAGGTCAGAGCATCACCTATTTCCTCATAAGCATTCATGGTAAGAACTGAAATAACCCACAACCTTAAGTATAGCCCTTAGTCTTTTCTGGAATTTTTTTTTTTTCAGAAATGGTTTTGTGTTCATTGTACTCAGTGCTTATGTGTGACGGAGAGGAAGGGAGTAGCACAGCCTAAGGACCTAACATAGTGAGAATTCTAGTTCTGATTCTTCGGCTACTAGCCTATAACTTGCATTTAACCACACTGAGTCCTAAAATTCTCATGAGTTTGTCATATGTGCCAGTTCTGAATCTACTGCTTCACATCTTTAAATGCATTATCTAATGTAATCCACATATAATTCCATGATTCAAGAACAGCACTATCCACATTCTGAAGTCTAGAAAATCGAGGCTTAGAGAAGTTAAATATCTGGCATGAGATCATCCTGTTAGAATCTGCTATACATAGGATTTGAACTCAGAAATCAAACTCACTATGATTTACTTCCTGAAAGCACCTTGAAAATGATAGTCAACCATAGTATTACTGTTAAGGTAATCACCGAAGTCCTAATACACTTCATGTGTAGAAACAGAGGATTAAACACAGCTACATTTTAAAAGTAAAAGTAGATTGACTTATTTCCTAATAAAACACACTGAAATAATACCAGAATGTTTTCAGCACTAAAGATCTGTCAGCCCATAAATAAAAGTTATTGTGTAGTAATTGAGATCCCAAAAGGTCACACAGCTAGCAAGATTCCTTAACTACAAGAACAAAACACCAGAAATTAGTGAAATGCTTCAGGCAATAAAGTGTTCTAACGTACACAAGATCACGTGCTTCCAAAAATGATCCAAGACAATGCCCAATTAAATAGACAACAGGAATATAAAAACAATATAATAAGATTACGTCAAGCTAGGGTATGAAGGGAACTCTCCTATGAATTTAATACAGAACAGTAACTACACATGAGCGGGAGATGTAGTTCAGATCTTTCTGGCACCCAGGGCCTTAATTTAAAAGACCATTTCTAGCATGATTTAAGCATTTTGCTTCACAGAACAGTGAATATCACAGAGCCATGAGGAAAAGTGTCTCAGGAAAGGAGTAATGATCATTTTTGTCACCTGCTAAGAAGCTGAATAAGATAAAGACATCATCACTAACCACTGGATTTGGCATGAGGTAGTTCGCTGCTGACCTTGACCTGAGAGGAGCAGATTTGGGAAGGTGGTGGAGAAATGTCTGACTGGAGTCAATTAAAGACAGGATGGAAGATGAGGGGATAGAGGCAGAAAAACAAGGCAAACCCTTTGAGATTTTTTTTCCTTATAAAGAAAAATGGGGTAGTAGCGCTGAGGAGACTCAGTGACAAGAGTCTTATTTAAAGATGGAAGAGATCACAGCACGTTTGTATGCTGTTGGGAAGGATTCAACACAAGTGAAGCAAACTGATGATGCAGGAGACAGAGATCACTGCAGGAGCAAAGTCCTGGGGAAGGCAAAGGGCGTGGGATTACAGTGCAAAAATGGTACAAGTCATCCTTACAACAAGGACAAAGCTGAGAAAAGGGAAGATGTGGAGACGGTTGGCATATTTGGTGGTGGGAAGATGAAGCAGTTCCTCTTTGCATATTTTTTAAAGATTTTATTTATTCATGAGACAGACAGACAGACAGACACAGGCAGAGGGAGAAGCAGGCTCCATGCAGGAAGCCCAATGTGGGACTTGATCCCGGGACTCCAGGATCACACCCTGAGCCAAAGGCAGACCCTCAACTGCTGAGCCACCCAGGCGTCCCTTCGTTGCGTATTTTTATTTCCTCAGTAAAATGAAAAGAGAAAGTAACACCTGAGAATTGAGAAAGGGATGAATTATTGGATATTTAAGGAGAGGGGAGAAGGTCCTACATAGTCATTTTGAAAAAAGGGAACAAAAATTTACTCGAGCATATAGTAGGTGGCTGAGGAGCCACCGTGATTTGTGATCATAAATGAGGGCAGTCAGCATGGCTGTGTATTTTCTCCAATTTCATTCAGATATTTTGGGGAAATAGCAGGGCAACTGGAAAGTTAGCTATAACCAGAGATAAGTTTTTATGCAGATATAATGCATAAAGAAAGATAGAGGGGAACTGAAGATATAAAGAAAGAAATGATAATGAGTTGCAAGGAATGTCAACTATTGCGAAAAGATGTGAAAACATACAGATGGAGGCAGCCAGTTGAAATGGATTAGATATTAGGGGTGGGCACTTCTCAGATCTCACTTCGGAAGTAAAAAGCATAATCCCCAGCTAATGGGAGTACTGTCTACTAACAATCTTTAGCTGTTATCTTTTTAGAGAAACGGTCGTTGGCTAATGAGGGATTATACAGTCACGGTCACCCTTGCATTCTATGAGTGACCCACCACAAAGACTGCTTCTCATTTATCCCAACTCTAGATAATTCTGAAAGACCATCCAGATTTCAGAGCATTCAATGAGACTGGGCTAACTTCTCCCTCTGCCCAATTCTGCATTTTTCCCTTCCCCAGAGGCCTTCATCCCTACAGCACTTCCTAATAAACTTCTTGCATGCTCACCTCCATCCCAGAGTTTGTTTCTTAAGGAGCCCAAACTGCAGCAGGAATCCTAATGGAGGCGAGGTGTGGTTACCATGAGGGTGCTAAAAATGCAAGCTAGAAAGCTAGGGGACAGGGTTATAAAGTGCTATGCTTCACATTAACATTCTGGAGGTGATTCGGTTATTGTTGATTATTGTTGATCTTTCATGTGACTATGGAGGAGGAGAAGAACAGCTCACTGTACCTGAGAGGTTGGGAATATCAAGAGAAGCCAGGCATTGGAGCGAGTTGGTTGGCTTAGTGTTGTTCATCAAACATCACCAGTTCCACCCCCCTCCAAGGTACATCATGCAAATGCACTTCCCCATTCTTTTTTTTTTTTTTTTGAAAGGTTTTATTTATTTAATAAATAATGAGGGATACAGAGAGGCAGAGACACAGGCAGAGGGAGAAGCAGGCTCCTCATAGAGAGCCCCATGCAGGACTCAATCCCAGGACCCTGGGATCATGACTTGAGTCAAAGGCAGATGCTCAACCACTGAGCCACTCAGGCATCCCACCCCCATCCTCTTTGAAGTTAAGCATAGCTACATGGCTGGGCATGATGTCTGAGCAAAGCATATCACTTCTAGGTGAACAGATTAAGAGCCAGCACCTGGCTGACCATACACATATTCTTTTTTTTTTTTTTAATTTATTTATTTATGATAGTCACAGAGAGAGAGAGAGAGGCAGAGACATAGGCAGAGGGAGAAGCAGGCTCCATGCACCGGGAGCCCGATATGGGATTCGATCCCGGGTCTCCAGGATCGCGCCCTGAGCCAAAGGCAGGCGCCAAACCGCTGCGCCACCCAGGGATCCCCATACACATATTCTTATTTCTGCATTAGAGATCATGGAAGCACAGAGATGGAGACTCTTTCAGCCTGGGTCCCTGAGTGAGGAGCAGGCAATCAAACAAGCCTGATGACCATGTTGCATGAGCCAGGAATATGCTTCTGTTAACTGAAGCCATCGAGGTCACCCCGACTGGTATAGATGGTGACTAGGAAAGGCATCTCAAAGAAAGAAATCATTAGAGCATGATCTTAAAAGATGCATAGACAATCATCAAGTAGAGACTAGAGGTGGAGAAAAAAGAAGGGAGACTACAACTGTTAAACCTTTGTCTCTGCAGAGTTAGGAAGGGAGAGAATCCCAGAGCCATGAACATTAATTGGCCTTCCACGAAGCCCTGAGGTGGAGGATGAACAAAACGCCACCATGAACCTCACCACCTGGCAAGACATGGAGCAAAACTTGTAAGTTCGTTCTAACAAGAATGGGAGACCTTTTAACGTGGGGATTAGACGTGGTCTGAGAAGGCCAGACAAGCAGTCTCTGTGGAGGTAGTGTTTCATCCAAGACCTAAAACAGAAGAGAAACAGGTGAAGGGGAGAGGACTAACATACCGGACAGAGACGAATGAGAAGAATCAGGGGAAGGAGCTTTGTCTGTTGAAACAGAAACCGGCAAGGTAAGCTCAGGTCAGATCCTGCTGAGCCTTGTGGGCCATGAGGAGGAGTCTCGCCTTTAATCAAGGTAGTGGCACAACCAATTTCTGTTTTTAAAATATCACTCAGCTGTAGTGAGGAGAATGGATTGGAGCTGGGCAAGCTGAAGGCTAAATCACCTTGGTATTCTACTCTCAGAGAGACAGCCACGCTGAACTCCATCTCATCCTGCTGGGATACCCAGACATTCTTTAAGATGAGAAACGAGTCAGGACTTGCCTTACAGCCAATTCAATCTTCGGCCCATGGGCCATAGCTGCCA